GAGGGGAGGGCTCGCGATCTCTGCCTGCTCCCTGGCGCCCACCAGGCTCCTGCCCTCCGGCGCCGGGAGCGGGGACCCAGGGGAAAGGCAGAGGGGCTCCAGCGGTCCAAGCGCCCTGGACAGCGCCAGGCAACTGAAAGGCTCTGTTCCGTTCGGGCGCCGGGATGACTCCGGTGATACCACTGTCCTGCCAGCTCCCCAAGCCTGGGCACTGAGCGCAGATTCCCTTATCCTGGTTGGCGCCGAGCGGGAGTGGGGGGCTTCCGCGCGCGGCGTCCTTTCCTTTGCCTCTGCGCTCGCTCCCTGCCAGCTCCCCCACCAAGAGCTGCCCCAAGCCCGGCGGCTCCAGTCCCGCACCCCCAGCGGCCCGCGCCCAGCTCCCAGTTTCTGCGCGGCTGCAGAGCCCGGCGCCGGCGAGGGCGGGCGGGAAGCCCCCCGGAGCGCCGCCAAATACTTTTCTCTGCCAATTGGCTTTGCCGGGCTCGGTCCGATGCAGAGTGTCCGAAGCCGCCCGGAAAGCTGGCGACGCCCTCGGATTGTGATCGGTGACCCTGTGCGGACGAAGCTGCCACTAGTAGGAGTCGTCTGCCAGCAAACCCGGCCAGCAGCCGTCGGAACAAGGCCGACAGACGAGCCTGGGACGGGGGCTTCGCACCCCGCGGCGCGCCTGCAGTTGCTGGGTGCGGCTGAGCCAGGCACCCCGCGTCCGTGGGTGAGAGTGTGTGCGCAGGCGGGAGCTCAGGGTGAGTGTAGGACTGGGGGACGAGGGACGCCCCTTGAGGGGGTGGGGGGGGGGAGCTGGTCATTATTCTTTGGCGGCAGAAGCACCACTCGCCCAGACGCTCTACCCCTGGCGAATGTGCTGGTCGCCAACTGCAGTCACTCTGGGACATTGTCTCCTAGGCGAGCGAGCCAGGAGCCGCAGAGGAACAAAGACGCAAACTCGCCTGAGCCCAAGCAATTTCGAAAGAGTTGGCTGAGGAAGGGCCTGGGGCCTACTCGCTATGGGTACTGAACTGTCCCGCTGGCCCCTGCGATGAGCTGGTGGGCAGCACCATCGCGCGGCCCAGCCTGGGCAGCCCTGGCGCCGGGTGCCCACGGGCGGGCTGGCCGGCCAGCCGCGCCACCTCCTCTCTTCCTCCTTCTTGTCTTTAGCGATCCCCCTCCAGCGGCCCCTGCCGCCGCCAACCAGCCGCTTTATAAAAAGCCCCTTTGTTTCCCAGGAGGCTGGAGAGTGGGAAGAGGACAGGGACATAGGGGCGGGGGCTGTGGCCTCCTGGTGGCTCTGAGCTTCTAGGGACAGAAGGCGAATAGGGGTGGCGACAGAGAGGGGCTGGCTTCTAGGGACCCCCGCGGAAGCCAAGACACTCGCATTCCTGCGCCCTCCCAGATACCCTGGCCTTGGTGGCTGGACAGCCAGCTGCCAACCGGCAAAGAAGCCCACGGCTGAGCGCTCCAAAGCAATCATACTCGGTGGGCCCTGCGCTCGCCGGGCGCGGGCATAGGGGGCGCACTCGCCTTGGTTTCGCTTTGCGCCGGCGCCCCACTCCAGGGCTGAGAAGGCTCAGAGATTTTCTTCACGCAGCTGCTGACCACGCGCCTCCCCCCTGCCCGCCTACTCCTGACCTAAAGCTCTGCTGGCCCCATTCGTTGGAGGCAGGCTAGTGGGGTAGAATCGGAGGTGCGGCCTCTGGGTTCTTGACACCAGAGCCAGGGTGCCCACCAGAGCGCCTGTCGCAAGCCACCTGGCACAGAGGGTGTCTTAGAGGCAGGGGCCGGACAGCAGGAGCTGGGTGACGGGTTCAGCTGCCCCTGGAAACTTGCAGGAGGGGAGCTTGCCCTTGCGGAATAGGAAAAGTAACCCTTTCGCCACCCCAGGGTCTTGTCGCCCGTCCCGCCCCCAAAGTGGCCAGCTTCTCCGCAGCTAAAGTTTGTTCAGAAGGGATACTTGATGAAATGTAAATGGACCAAATAAGGAGAAGTGGGCGGGCCCCCAACAGGCTGATGGGTCTCCAGGCGAACTCCCATTCCGCTCCATCTCGCCGCCCCTCCCCTTTCAGCGGTTGACTGTGGTGCACTGGGAGGTTGTAAGTGCAGGGCGGACATTTGCTCTTTGGTCCTTAGGCTAGATAGTAGCTAAAGTGTTAACCCCCACTTTCTCCCCCGCGCCCCCGCACCGCACCCTAGTGCATCTAAAACCACAAGAAAGTCATCAAAGGGTAAACCACAGGTCCCTGCCCCTCCTCCCCACCCCGTGCCCCGCGCTTCCCTCCTGGAGCAAGATCTTTGGGAAATAAAGCTGCTGAGGTGCAAGAGGGAACATATGGTGCCTCCATAAGAGAGACACTGAAATGGCCTTGAACCTGCCGGACAGACCAGCTGTTTGCTGCTAGTCAAAGCAGCTAATCAGCTTCTTCCCCTTAAAGTAACAGCCCTCTTTTCTCTGGACCACCAGTTTGCATATTCACTAGGGTCTCCTCAAGAGGGGGGGGGGTAGTGGGCTCCCCTACTGCTTTATTTTAGTGCCTCCCAAGATGCCTCTTCCCCAGGCTGTGTGGCTGCCTCTCCCACTACTCTTACCTGCAAGTGAAAGTCAGACAAGAGTCACAGGAAAGAGGAAAGAGAAATGGGGCTGGGAGACTTCCAGATGCCTGGCAGGCAGGCTCTTGGTTTTGGAAAATCTAGCCATCCTACCACCACCACCACCCCTAAAAATATAGCAAAGAGGGACCGCTCTTCTTTATAAGATTGCCTTTAAAAGCATCCCCTTCCGGCTGGGACCATTTCCAGTTTTCCTGCAGTACAATGAGGGTGTTTTTTTGGGGGGGTGGTGGCGATAATTTGGCATTGGAAGAAGACAAGCTTCAGGAGATACAAGGAAATTCCATGTTAGGAAATCCTTAGCAAAGGGCGACTTTGACTGTTTTCCTGCCACTGGTGCTAACAGTGACACACATGTGTGGGTTGAAACAGGAACTTCGGTGACTTTTTAAACTCAACCGGGAAATCGCCTGGTTGTGGGGTGAGGGAGTTTCTGTCCCAGGCTACCCCCCGCCGCTTCTGGGAGGAGATTCAGCGGGTTGCCTGTGGTTTTCGCTTAGCAAAGAGATGTTTCAAACTTGGCCAGCTTGCTATCAGATTTGTCTCCCCCTTTTAAGTTGATCACCTACAGTCGTAAACTGCACCTGTCACTCTCACACATCCCTGGGCAATTCGATAGCTGTTTGGGTTATGAAGCAGCCAGAAAACAATCACAGACAAGACGATCTTCTAACAAAAGTTACTCCACCCACTTTTAAACACGAGTTTGTTTGTTTTTTAAGATTCTAGATTTTGTTCCTACAAGGGTACAGTGGGGAGACCGTTAGCCGAGTAGCCAGGTACCTCCCCAATTAGCCACTCATTCCCTGCCCAGCCCCTCCAGTTCAAAACCCCATGATCTGTGAACTAAATTGTCACTTTCTGAGAACACACAAAACGCCAAGTTCAGTCTCCTCATTGGGGAAAAGCAGCTAGTGATATAATAAATTGGAGAATTAGGGAGAAGAGGGAGGAGTCCAGAACATGGCCAAAGGCCAATCAAAGCAACATTAAAATGGGAAGCTTTCCACTCTCTTTGGGTCTTTGGC